AAATAAATCAAAGAAAATCACAGAGGCCAAAGCTGCCTAACAATAATAGATTTGGCAGTCGTCTACAAGGCACTTGTTTTTCATGTGGCCAGACAGGACATCTTAATAGAGAATGTCCTAATCAGTCTTGGGGAATGCCTAAAGTTACAAATCAAATTCCACAGATGTCTGCTACTACACCATCTTATCCCCCGAGAACTGTGTGTCCCAGATGTCAGAAAGGATTTCACTGGGCACGAGACTGCAAATCTCGTTTTCATAAGGATGGGAGTTTTATAGGTCCTCCTATAACATCTGCTACTCCTATGCCTATGCCAAAAAACGGTCAACAGGGCCTCCCCCAGGCCCATCCAAACAATTGGGGAACTCAGAATCNTCTTGCTGGCAGTAGTGTTGCCAGTTATTCTGCAGGACATGATCCAGGTTAACATAAATGATAAAATCAACAGGTTAGAGGCAAAAGAAAGCATCAAATCAGGAACAAGGATTACTACCCAGGTAGTACGTAGAGAATGCATCATTACAGAAGTGCAAGAGGGCTTACATTTATAAAAATTTATTGAGGTTACAAAAGTTGTTTGTCAGATTATCTCATTAGTTTGTTAAAGAAAGAAGACTTTAATCATTAGCAAAATGGGCATTTCTGTTCCTGTGCAAGGAGAAGCTATACACAGAGTATCCTTAAAGATTAGATAAGTTTCCTTGTATTATACATTGTGAGGAGTGCAGACGTTAGTGCAGGGATTTGATTTCTCTTAATTTCTTTGTGGGTTTCAACATTCATAAATAGTTCAGCTAAAGCCAGCATATCCAAATGGAGTCCCTGATGTCAAGACCTGAATAGTGCTAAGCTGTCCTATACGTGCCTTTTTCTTCAGTTTACACTTACATTTTCCTCACTGCCTTGCAGTCCCTCTCTTGGTGTCTTGACACACTTCCAATTTGTGCTAAAGTTGTCCTTTGAGGCCCAGCTTCTGCTCAGTGTCACAGCCAATGCCACGTCTGGTAGCTATTTATTACTGCAAAATCCCATTTCCAGGTACAAAACTTGCTTTTGGTTACCTATTCTGCTTTAAAATCTGCGGGGGCGCCTCCCACTCATAAGACTAAGTATGGTAAAGATCTTTTAATGAAACACGGTGTTTACAGGGCCTCATCGTGAAGGGATGATGGCAAGGCCTCATCATGGGAGAAGATGCCAGCGTTCCACCTTGATTTTCTGGAGCTCTGTGTGCTTGCTATGCCTAATTATATTTTATTCTTTGCTGTCTCATAATTATCACTCTGGGAGACTTGGAAGTAGGATTCAAAATTATACTAAAATATTTAATCATACTAATGATACTTATGATTATGGATTTTCAGGAGATGGCTTATGGCAGTGGGGCCCAGAAGGGGACAAC